TATATATATATATTTATATATAATGTGTGTGTGTACATATACACATATGTTTTTGTACATATATTTATTTATGTATATTTATATATGTTTATATTTATATTATTCAGGAAATTTATAGTGGAGGAAGGTTTTATTCTAAATCATCTATCTTTTGTGGCTGCATGTTTTTTTTTTTTTTTTTTTTTTTTTTATTTTTTTTTTTTTTTAGAATTGTATTATTTTTGTAAGATTCTTAAGCTGTCAATGTGATGAAAAGCAAGGAAATGCAGTAATGGCAAATTCTATATAAGTATTGAAGTTACATTTTGACTAATTATTACCGTTTGATTGCAGTGAAACTGGCGTTGTATATCCTGCTGGGAGTGTCATTGCTGTGTGTCGTTACCTCATCCATGCTTATCCATGGTGTTAGGAGGGTAAGTTGAAGTTGTTATACTGTATTATACCTCAAAAGGGACATGAATGTGAATGCCTTTGTATTTTGGTGTGACACATTCATATTTCTTTTCCATTTAACTTTATTTCCTAATTATAAACTCTGGTTGCCTTAGCCAGGGGATTCCTACTAAATGAAAGGTATTTTTAAAAAATTCTGGATTTTAGTAAAAACAAAACCTTTTCGCTTTTTCCAAGGAAGCAGGAGACATGTTCAGTCATTTAATAGGTATTTAGTTATTTGCCAGTTATTTGGTACTTATTTTAAGTTCATGGACATGTATCATTTGACACTGGAAACTGATGTTATTTGTACAGATGTGCTGCTTAATGATTTTTTAGTGTCAAAAGAAAAGTAAATGGTAGCCAATTACTCAATTTTGTATGTTAAATTGCTTTAAAAGAATTGTGATGCTAGTTACTTTTATATTCTTTTCATTGCTTATGCTACAATATGTCCCCCAAATGAGGCATTTATTTACTCTATCAGAGATAATGGTATATTTGATGTTCCCCGAAAAATCTATATTTTCAAGTAATTCATATTTATTAATAATTAATGACATATTATTAGCTTAGATATAGACTTCTGTGATTGGGCCCTATATAGGTCCTAGTGATCTATCAACCAATTCCTTACATCTAGGCTAGAGGGTTGTATCTGTATTTTGTAATCAATAAATGGACACTAATATGACACTGATTTAAATTTTCAGAAGCGACGTGGTCTCCTCCTGCCTTACATTGTTCAGGAAGTTATCAACATCATCATCTTCATTGTCTTGATCATTGGAACTTTGGTTATAGTTGGTACTCATCAGATTATTGTCTCTGCAGTCGTTGGAGTTATAGGAGGAATTTTGATTCATCTTTACTTCATGCTTGTCGTCATCTCTCAATACCAAGCTCTTGGGCTCATTCGCATGCATGAGGAGATCAGTATGAAGTAATCTTTGAGGTGCTAAATAATAAAGAAAACAATCATTATGTATGTTAGAAGTGAAATCCTTCACCACTATGAATGGATGAAGCACTGTATACACTCTAAAAGATTATGCTCTTTTTGACTGTTATTTCTACAGTTTTCAAGAAATTTACAAAACATTCAGTATTTCTCTCCAGTGAACCTCATGATAATTAGGTTTGATTCATATTATAGAAAATAGATGAAACTACATTTGTATTACTAAGAACTTACAGTTAGCACTTAATATTGTAAAACATTTAATTTTTGTGTTTATACGAGGAATCAACTAAAGTTTAATGCAACACAAATATGGAGAATGATCTGAAAAAAGTTTTTTATTGTCACTAGTTCTTTAATCTTTATAATAAGTAATTTTGTGGATAACGTGTAATTAAACGGTTTAGCAAGTCAAGGGACTGCATTTTGCAATTTATTTGACACAATTTTTGTGTCTACTTTGCTCCTTGGTTTGTATTTTGTAGTACATATGAAGTTGCATTTAATGTTCAATATACAATGTAATTTTGTTTATAGTTGTAAAGATGTGTTTCATATGTTATCAATAAAGGTGTCTATTCTGTCAAATGCCCAAATATTTGGTCCGAATATATGGGTATGTTGACTGTGCAAAGATGAAAATGCTGCAGATAGGATTATAGTTAATTATTAGTTTTTACTCTGTTATGGAGATATATTTTGTCAGTATGAGAATACAAATACATGTAATTTAGAGTCTGTCGTACTTTTGTAATGAATTTGTGAAGTTTTAAACCCTGGTGTGCACATTTCATGTGTTTCTAAGCACTTTTTTTCATTTATACTTCACAGATTCATGTACTAAATAATTAAAGATTGATTATGGTAATGAAATTATTTTGATTTCCCTACTTGATTATTTACTTATTATTTATTATTATTTTTTTATTATTATTATTATTATTTTTTTTTTTTTCAAAAATAATTAAAAACTGTATATGAATTCAAATATATTTTTCATACTTCAAATTGAGATCCACTTTGACTCTCAGTGATACTATGAATCATGCTGCAAACCTAGGTATATAGGATTACTTGAAAATCTTCCAGTATTAAAAGTTTTACACGTACATTTCATATACTATTAAGAAATTTGAGTTGTGGAAATGCTGAATAGGTATTAGAACCAGTTTTATGTTGAGGGATGTGCTAAAGCAAGTGCTATAGAAACCAACATCTCAAGATCTTGGGAATAATTCTTCTTATATCTGCCCAGTAGCCCCTCCCCTCTTTCATATCAACCCCACAATCCCTTGCTCGTTATTGTCTTAGGGGCTTAGGAGAGGGAGATTGAGGCCCAATATATTTTGCATGGTCTTTTCTTCTTTTGAATACCCTGTACAACCCAGCAAAGTGGGATTGTTTTTTTTATTCCCCCAGCAGCCCCATACTCTGACAATACCCTACTTCTCCAACAATGCCTCCAAAAGCAAGTAGTCAAAGTTTCTTTCCAAAGTTATCCTGAGTGTTCACGGCTTATCCTGTTACATCGGAGTCCCAAGCTCATGTACTATCTACCCTGACTAAACTCACTTGCAAACCTATTCCTGATCAACCCCACTCCCTTAATGCTTGTACCGGAACTGTTTCCATCTCCCCAACTGATTGCCTGTCTATGACAAGGATTGGTCAGACTGTGAAGAAAACTCACTTGTCTGCCATACTGACTATGATGCAGTATCAGTACAGTGCTACACTACCATAAATCTCACGTCAACGCTGTCAAGATTACCTTCTGTAGACATGAACTTTCCCATAAGGTCTATATTGGTGGAAAAGCTTACCATGTCAGATCATACTGATCCCCCTCCCGGCTATGTCAGAAATGTTGGCATTTTTACCACGCTGCCCTCTATGTGCCCAACCTGACTATTTCCGTTCAAATTGCCCTGCGTACTCACGTACATGTGCTAATTGTGGTGGCTCGCATAGCCTATTTTATCAGAGTTGCCCTGCCTACAAGTCTGGATCTGAGGTGGCAGATCTCAGATACAAACTCGGCCTTACTCTACGAGATACCAGAGGTTTTCCTATCACTCCCAACTTCAATACTATCCATCACTCCACTCCTCTCCCATCTACCCGAACTCCTCGACATCCTCCATATTACATCTTCCCCCTACCCCTTACCTTCCCACCTCTACCCTTATCTTCCAATTAAATCCCTTTTTCCATCCTAAATCCAGATACTCCAATATCCACAACTTCTCACTGTGCTTATTCCTCCTAGCATTATCCACTGCACCAGACAAGCTAAAAATTCGACCCCATCTTCACCTACCACATACACACCAACAACTACATTTTCTGCTCCTAAAATGCCTATCTCTTCTTCAAAACCTCATTAACAAATCCTTGATTTCCCAAAGCGTCCCACTCAACTCTCCTCTAGAAACCCTTGAGGACATCTGAAACTTCCTAAGTATGACCCAAGAAAATGCTCCTCCCTCATAACCATCCTCCAGTTCCTCTATCCCCACTCTGTCTACAGTTAGAGTAACTGCCGACATCCATCCTCCCCCTCCTCATATTCCCTCTACTTCGCAACACACCCCATCCTCCCCTCCACCCAAATCAAACCCCCATCTTTCCCCACTATCCCTTTCACTTCCTCCTGGATACACATGTGAATCCCCTTTATCACAATGACCTTTCCCAGATCCTGCCTTTCATGATGAACCCTCTCATACTGCTCCTTCACCCCCTAATCCCCTACCTCAATCCCTGGATATTCCTGCTTCTCAGACAACCATCCCTGTCCTCATCCGTTGATTGTTCTACAATGGCTCTGCTACAGTGGGGCTTTTGTTCTCATAGACCTGATCTTCGCCATTTCAAATCTCCAAACCCATCCTTTATCCAAGAAACATCCTGACACATCCTGCAGTACCAGTTCCAAATTATCATTTTGTATCATTCCCTCACTCTCTCCCTATCTCCTTTGTGCTAGTCCATAAAAATAATCCATGCACTATACATCCGTTTAAAATAATTTTCCCTTGGACTATAATTCGCATATTTTTCGCCGTTGGATCATACTGATTTCAATTTACTTTTTCCTTTTTCTTCGTATTGACTTTAATTCCTTCGAAACTACTTTCTCAGTTGCATCCATCTTTTCTCATACTCGTTGATTTCAACTCTTTTGGGGTGACTCTACCACCACTTCTTGAGACCGTTCCTTGAACTGCTTTCTTTCTAACACTTATCTTTCTTAACTCCAACCGCCCCACTCACTATGCCATGCACACCCAAACCTTTTTCATGGTTTGACCTTTCTCTTTGCACTCCTTCCCGTAATCTAGACTCACTGGTCAAGTCTGGACCACCTCCCCTAAAATAATTACTTTCATTTTTCCTCTGTCCTGCTCCCCAACCCCCTACGCTGATACTTTGATAGAGCAGACTGGCGTGCCTCTCTCTTTACGCTCACTCTTCCTCCTGTAATAAGTAGGGGTGGATTATCCTACTAAGCTGCTACCACTGTAATAAAGTGGAGGATTACAACCCGCCAACTGACACCATTGTAATATAGTGGGGGCGTTATCCCACTTTAAGTTGTCACCACTGTAATAAGTGGGGGGAGACATCCCAGCATGGAACCAATGATGATGTGGCTAAGGCACTCTTTAGATGGTGGAGTTGAAGTTGCTGCAGATTTTCAACTTCATTGCTGTGGAAGAATGGTAGCTGGTACAGAGACGCCCAGGGAGGAGCATGTCCTGCCAAGTCCAAGAGGGCGATCAGTCTCTCGATAGACTTCGTTTTCAAACATTCCATAATGGAAAACATGAAAGAATTTGAATGGACACAAATTTATAAAACATATGGTCTCTTAACCGTTTGTGGTGAGGAGACAAGGGGAACCATATACACTGTTGCATATGAGAAGAGAATTATAGCATTTATAAGGCTAATGCTTCGTGATAGACAGACAGAATTGTTGAGTAATCATAAACCATAAAGACATTTGAAAGTCGATAATAATAACGATTTCATTCAGTGATACATAAAGAAAAGGGAAACATCAATCTTTAGATGACAGGAGACAAGTGACACAAGGAGTTTCGATCTCGGGAGATGAGAAGGAAGGGGGGTCGTATAGGTGAATTCTAAGGTCGGAGGCCTAGGGAGCTTGTTCGCACAGGTCATCATTGTTCTAAAGCACATGTGGTCTTGGGGGGAGCGGCAGTGGCGATCAGTCACAGAGCTTGCCAATCGTTCCGTAGGATCGCTAAGAGTTACAGTTAACTTGTCAAGCGCCTTGTCAGTCGTAAATGAAACGCACTGGGTTCTGGGAGACCAGTTGTTAGTGATGAGACGAGGACTGAGCGGAGAATCCTGAAAACAAGGTCTTGAAAGATCACGTCGTCGGCGGGAAGGATTCGTCATCTTGGGAGAGGAAAAATATGGTGATGGCGTCACGAGATTTGACAGGCGAGGGACTATTCTTGCCAGGGTTACCAACATATATATAGGCGGCAGGTGTGGTGAGTGAGGCGAGATGCGGCGAGGACACAGTTGGCGATCACCAGCGGACGAGGCAATGGACATGACCGAAGCTGCAGCGAAGTACAGTAGAGGACAGAAGGGCGTTGGCACGTGATACGACAGCGACGGTCAGCGGCGGTCACCAGCGGACGAGGCGGCGGACACGACCGGGGTTGAAGGGACGTCTGGCTCTGAGGACAACAGACAGGAACAACAGTACCATGTTTTGGGGACAGAATGTCATATCCCAGGGAGTTATAATATCAACACGAACTCAGAATGATTAAACAACGACTGGAAGCAACGTGTCAAGGATTAGGAATAGAGGAACATTCAGTAATGAACAATTGAGAATGCGTATAAAATTTCGTAGAAAATGCGAGTTTACAGAACCATGCAAATTGCAGAAATGATTTTCCTTGAAAATGATGTGAAAGTTTCTTATGTAGGACAATAGATATTCTACGCGAATGAGAGTAGATAACTTACTAAATTATAGAATATTTTCCTTCGGGTAAATGAAAGTAATTGCAGGCGAAAATGCAGGATTTATCTGTCTTTGGAAATGAAGGGTAGTTACATGCTAGGATACAGGAAGGATTTTCCTGGGGAAAGAATCACTGAAAGCATGCAAAAAAATGCGGGAA